GTGTTGGGCGGTGCTCCTTGGACCACACGGCAAGAAGGAGAGCAAATCCCATTCTAAGTGGGATTGCTCTTGATTTGTTTCCTTGTTCATATTTAGTGATTTGTTTCCTTGTAGGAATAGAATTCCTTTTGTGTTTTGGTCTTTATCCTCTCCTATAAATAAAGGAGAAACTCCTTGTACTTAGCAGAACAATTCAATATACAGAATATTTTCCCTCTTATTATTTTCTTCATGATGTTATACACTTTTTAATTTTTTTTACACCACACACAATGTGTGTTACCATTTGTCAGCCGTACCATAAATAGTCCGTCTTCTCATTGGGGTAGAGGTAAGATGTGTGTCCAAGCTTAGAGTGGGGTATACGGGGTATTTTTGGTTTGGCTGGAACAGGACAGAATACGCTATTCATCAGACATTACGCCAATGTTCCTAAGGCACTAATTAAACAACTGCATAAGGATAGTCTTCTCTGGACTTTTGACACTCAAGTGACATTTGAGCAGTTAAAATCAGTCCTGGTTTAAGCACTCACATGGCTACATTGGCGTTGCTATATTTTTCTCAATTATTCACTTCAGAAACCACTGCTTCGGGTCTTGGTATTGGGGCAATCTTGAGTCAAAACGGACACTTAGAGGCTTATTTTTCTAAGAAGATTTTCTGGCTAGAGTGCAAGTGCACTCCACCTATGTCCATGAACTTTATGAAATAACACAAGCAGTCGCCATGTTTTGTCATTATCTTATCCGGCATCATCCCGTGATTAAATTGTTAAAACCAATCAGGAAATCTTGAAACACTTACGGGTCAGATAAGTCAAACACTAGAAAGAAAGCGCACCTTCACAAACAAATGGGATATGATTATACCATGGAGTAAAATTTAGGTTAAACAAATACTCTGGAATTGAGTGACAGGGCTGATGAGGTGGAAATAAGAACTAACAATGATGAAATCTTCTTGGTAGGAGGTGGGACTCAAAGGAACACTCGGGAGAAGGTCATCTCATGGAAATTGAGCAATGTGCAACAATCATCCAAAGCCGTTAGAGGATGGGCCAATGGGGTGTGCTTGTTCTCTGCTGACTAGGGTTCATGCTTGGCCTTGCCAAAGACACACATGAATTGACTCCAAAACAATTGATGATCTTATTCATGAATATAAGGCATCTATTAATAGCCTTGGAGAGCAAGTTAATAGAGTCCTAATCTAACACAGAGTAAGACTTTGCTATTAGAAATGTTAACTAAAATAGAGTAATAATCCTAATTGAAAAACTGTCACAAACAATACTACTAGTACAAGAAAGGGCTAATTACTATTTACTACTAATAAAAAACACATGTCTGTATCACTCCCCTGGTTCCTTTTCTGATTTACATGTAGTTGCTCGTATTGCAGTAAGGATCATAACATTTTCACTTTCAAGAAACCAAATGAATCCCAATACCCAGAAAAACCAGTATCTTGTTTAATTCTAATTCCTGAAGCCCAGAACATGCAGTCCACCCACACCCAAACTTGTATGCTAGTTTGAAATGAACTGCTAAAAGTTGTGTACAGCTTCGAACTAGAAAAATTAACCTAGTCTTTGCATCAAAACCCAGTTAAAAACTCAAAATGCTCCGCTTAATCCAGAGAACGCCAAGAATCGAGCACCAAAAGGCGTCATTCGAAGGAGCAATTAAATAAACCAGTGAACTTGCTCACGCTTTTACTAATCTGGAATTGACAGATCAATAAATAAAAATAGCAAGTGGGTACCTTCAAATCTTGAATCCGGATCCTGCGCCTCAGGATTCGGAGAATGGAAGAACGGGAGCGAGAAGACGGCGGAGAGAAGCACAGACACGCCAAGCAGCAGAGCAAACACGCATCGGAAGCTCAGCCAAAGTCCGATTCTAATGCTGCTGCCTGCATTTGAATCTGTGATCTGCTGATTCACTCCGGCAATCGGCAACGACTGCTCTTCCTCAACCTTTCCCATTGGGAGGAACAGTTACAATTCAATAGCAATGTGGGTTTTCCGCTTGTCTCCATAGCTGCTGGGGTTTGGTGAGACTCCCCATGACTGTATTAGACCCTTCTTCCTTCCTAGCTCCTCTTTGCTAGGTGAGAGCCGAGAGGGAATGGAGAAAGGGGACCCGGAAAACTTGACTCGGCGAGAATCTATTAAATCCGCTAGGTTCGGTGGCCAGTAACACTTGTGCAGTGTTTCAATTGGACACAAGCATAATTCTTGTAAAATTGACATACGGAGTACTCGTATTTCATTGTGATGTTGACTTTTTACATTTGAATAGGCTGAGAGAACAAAAATTTCATGTACGAGTAATTTAGTTAAGGCCATTTACAATGGGGTAGGGCTGTAAATGAATCCTAGCTAATATCGAGATATTTGAATTTGTATTTTTTTAATTTTTAAATACGAACCTGAATCCAAAAATGAAACGAATTAAAAAAAATTATTTATATTTGATTAATATTCGAATAATTAACGAATTCGATCGATGTATCGATTCTTGGGTTAAGGACTAAGATAGGAACAAAACATGAACTATATATCAAAATAGGAGTAGAAAAGGAAAATCCCGAGTTGTTTTTACTCAACCAAGGATCATCTTTCTGCTGCCAGCACCTTTCCAAATGTAAACCATTAAATTGCTTTGAAATGCACTAGAGACGCATGAAGGGGCTAAGGAACTATTCTTAAAACATATCCTTCTCTCTCGCCTGCCATAATGCCTTTTTATTAATGGGTAATTTACTTAAATAGTACTAAAACATAATGACTTTCCCTAAATAGTATCACATGTGTTTTTCTTCCCAATGTAGCACTTTTAGTCATTATGCATTAGTTATTATTCAAGTAAATATTCGTCATCACTGGACATTATGGACATTATTAAGTGCTATTTAGAGAATAAAATAATTTAAATGCAATTTAGGGAAATGACTTAAGTTTTAGTGCTATTTAGTGCAAATATTTTTTTATTAATTTGGGTTTTTCTTTTGTCACCTATTTTCATTCATTTTTTGCATATTCTTGATAATGGAATATGAAAGCTTGGAACAATAAAATTTCATCACTCATTTGAATTATCTCACGGTAATGCTCACTTGGGATTTAATTTATTTCTTACCCAATTTTAATGTATTACTATATTTAATGGTTGATAAAATGAATGATATTCCAACCATTAAGACCGAACATCACAACTACTCTCAAGCATTGTTGCCAATTTTATGTCAATTTTACAATGTCACATTTACTGTTAAATACAATGTAAAAAAGATATAATATCAACTATGACACCACATAATGTCATAAATGACAATGTATAATGCCACCAATGTCCATATGTATTGTCATATATGCAAATCCACAGTGTCACACAAATGCATTTTAATGCCAAATCCGACCCAATGCCGTGCACGCCTTCCGGCAACCATCACCTGTTTCACAGCCACCTTTACGGTGATTGGATACCAACCGCCCCTGACGGTGGTGGACCCCATTTTTCAACACTAAATTGCGATCCCAATGCATCCAAACAAAATTTAAAGAAAATAAATTCATTTAAAGATTGAGAAAGAACCCGCTCACGCTTGAAATCTAAGTTTTGAGAGGGAAATAAGGGTGGGGCAGCGGGGTAGATTTGGGAGGGGTGCGGCGGCACGACGAATGTGAGAGCCTGAGAGGGGTGAGGGTGGCAACGATGATGGCGCTGCAATTGGGTACGGTGGCGGCGGTGGAGATTGTAATGGAACAAAGAAGCTTAGTCCGTGGAGATAGGTGGAATGGAGGATGATTTTTTCCCAACTTTCTTTTAGTGAAATTTGCACTAAATGGGACTAAAACATAATGACTTTCCTAATGTAGGACTTAAACTTTTTTATTCCATAAATAGGACTTAATAATGACCTCGTGCGAGGAATAATGTCCAGTAATGCTAAACATTTACTTGAATAATGACTACTTGTTAATGACCAAAAGTCCTACATTGGGAAATAAAAACATATGGTCCTATATTGGGAAAGTCGTTATGTTTTAGTCCTATTTAGGTAAATTTCTCTTTTTTTTATTGGGGCACCGCTGGAATGAATATTAGCGTGCAACATGTCATGTTTTTTATTTAATTTAAATTTAACTCCTACTTTGGGTATATAAGTTTGGTGCTCCTATTTTGGGAATATGCTTAATGATTTACTCCTATTTAGGGGGTTTTCTTTATCGTTTTTAGCCAGGCAAGAATTATAAATTAGTCTAGCAAAATACACCAAAATACAAACACGTAAATTTTGACGTGGAAACCCAATTGTGAGAAAACCACGAGCCTTTTTTGGCAGTACCTTACTACCGAGAGATTTTTATTAATACTGGGGGTGTACACGGTACATAGTTTGGGTCCAAAAGCCATTAAGGTCGTGTTTGGAAAAAGGCTTTTCGGATAGCTTTTGACATCTTTGACTGACTTTGGCATTTTTGACTAAGCGAATAGCCAAAATCATTGTTTGGCTAATGGCTTTTTCACTTGGCATTTTGATCCGAAAAGCCAAAATCTGAAATGCCAAGGAGAGTAGCATTTGGACTTGGCTGTTAGGAAATTTAATTTTTTTAAAATCATTTTTCTTGATTGATATTTTATAATATATGTAAAAATAAAAAATAAAAATAAGAGTAAAAAAAATTAAATACTAAAAGAATATATTTAAAAATTAAAAATTTCAAAAAACGATATAATCTCTATTTAATTAGTACGGAGTATTAGACCATGTGCTATGGGGCTTGACTCGCGGGCGTGAAGGAGGCGTCACACCCCGTCACAGCGTGACCACCGTGACACTGCTCGGAGGCGTGACAAGGACTCAAGGAGGGTTTAATGGTGGTCACGACGTTGCCCCTCCTTTTTTTTCTTTTTTTTTTAAATTCAGACAATTCAAAAGTTAACACATCATTACTTCTCATCACTTTTTATTATATCCACCACAACACATATTTTTTCATCACTCTGCATCGTATATACATTACACCCTGTTAAGTACTGTAAAGCTCTCGTTAAGTCCGCCATAACAGATATATTTACTAAAAATTAATCCCCTTCGTTGTATGTCCGCCCTGGCCTTTTAAGATGGATGCTAAAGTGTGGGTCACGTGACAGTAGATTATTGGTAACATTCATCAATAATTAAAACAGATCACGCTACCAAAAAAACCCCAGATCACGCTAGCTATTTTTAACACATGCATACACGTGCAAGGTTTCGAATGGTATAAGAAAAAAAACTAGAAAATGTTAAATGATTCTCATACTTACAAATTACTCTCTCTGTTCCAATTTAAATCGTCAATTTTGACTTTTGGGCATATTTAAGGAAAATAAAAAATAGAATTAATTTTTCGAAATTAACATTGCTTTTTAGCAGGGGTGATGATGGATGAGATCATGAGAAGATAAGGTGAAGAAGAGTGACTTATTTTAGGGGTAGTTTAGATATTTTATTTTTAAAAGTTTACGAAAACAAGGCAACTTATTTTGGGATGGAAAAAAAGGCAAACATGCAATTTAAAATGGGACAGAGGGAGTAGAATACATGCACTTCAAACTAGAAAATGTTAAATGTATCTAATACCCTTCAGTCACGAGTTAATAAGCTTGGTAGAGTCAAATTATTTATTGTAAATAGAAAATATGAACCAAGTTAATCCATCACTGCTAAAATTTTGAATTACAATGTTTTTTTAATTACCACGTTAATTGATCCAAGGGCAATAATATTGTGTAATAATTTTTGTATCAATTGATGTACTCATTTAAAACTTTATTAGATAAAATTTGTATAAAGACTAATTTGATTTGCATTTTTTTAATTGGATGGACTAATTTTTCTCAACCGAACTTACACGGATCAAATTGACTTGTGACTCGTGAGTGTACTTCCTTCGTCCCAAATTAAACTACATGTTTACTAGCCACATGGTATAAACTTTATTCACTCTCTTTATTAATTTTCGCATACATCCTCTTGAATACACATTTTTGGATAACTGAATGCTGATTTACTAGTTTAACTGAATTTTAGAAAAATGAGTATTTATTTACTCAAAAATGAGTATTCAGTTGCTCGAGAATGAGTATTCAGTTATTCTGAAATGAGTATTCAGTTGCTCGAAAATGAGTATTCAGTTGTTTGAAAATGAGTATTCAGTTACCCGTAAATGAGGACTCTCTACGGATGTACGAGAAATATCGTCTAAAGAAATACACAGAAAATTACTCGCAGGTGACGCGAGTTTTGTTGAAATAACTCTCAGGTCCCTCTATTTTCAAAAAGGCAGCAGAGGTCCTTACATTTTGTTGTAATGACTGAGAGGGGACATTTCATCCAATACATCATTCGTAAGTGTTAATAAATGTATTTTTTTCCTATTTTTTGAATACCGTTTTTCCTATTTTGCCATTACCTTGTTATTTCTTTTTTTAGAATTTTTTTATTTCATTTGTTTTAATATAATATAAACAATTTTGAATTTTTATATGATTTTATAGGAGAAATTTTAAAATAACACTTTAAAAAATAGTAACAAAATGAAAGAAAAACAAAGAAATAAAAAAAGGAGCGACCTAAGATTTATTATCTTAAAACATTTAGAAAAGAATAGGAAAAAATNAGATGAAATATTGGATGAAATGTCCCCTTCTAGTTATTACAACAAAATGTAAGGACCTCTGCTGCCTTTTTGAAAATAGAAGAACCTGAGAGTTATTTCAACAAAACTGGCGTCACCCATGAGTAATTTTCTGAAGAAATACATTTCTAATTTTTTTTCAAAGAAATACATTTATATTGGGCAAAGAAATACATTTCTAATTTTTTCTAAATAAATCTAATGATATCATTGTTGTACTAATTACATTATAACTTTTATTTAATTAAAGATAAAAATTTAAACTCGAAAAATTCAAACTAGTCGAATACTATAAACATGAAGGTAGTATATAAAATGATCTACATGTGTTTAGTGTAATTTTATGTCACACCCATCTGATTACGTATAATAAAGGTCTTATTTAGAAACAACATTTTTCAATTAATATTGACATTTTAAATAATTGGGGAGAACCCAAAGTCCTCAAATTAAGGGATGATATATGTGTGTGTATGAGTGAC